ACTTGCGCGTTCTGCAACTTCCGCGGCCACTGCGCGCAGCAGTGCCGCAAGCTGCAGGCGGCCAAGCGCTACCACGTCATCGACGTGCGGCAGATCCTGGCTACGCTTCGCAACCATGGCAACGGCAACGGCAAGCGGCCAGGATCCTCTTGCCCGCAGCACGGACGAGCAGCTCCATTCAAGAAGGCGGCCGTCGTCAGCCACGGCCCTCAGCGCGTGGAGACCTTCGCCATCCACCACGATGCCCTCATGCTGCAGCCCGAGGACGAGGAGGAGGGCCACGCCATCGGACCAGTGCCACCACAGCTGTGGCTCGCTGACAGCGGTGCCACGGCGCACATCACCAGCGACGCCTCCCTCCTCACCAATTACATCGCCGTCACGCAACACGTCACCGTTGCCAACAACCAGGCCGTCACGGTCATCGGCAAGGGCGACGCCGTGCTCCGCGTGACTGGCACCGACGGCGCTCCAGGCACCATCACACTGAAGAACGTGCTGCATGTCCCCGACATCAAGTACAACCTTCTGGCGCTGAACCTGGTGACTCGCGCGCGTCGTGGTGCTTCCGTCGTCATTGCTGCGGACGACAGCCGCATCCAGTTTGCCACATGGAGCGTGCCTCTGCTGCCGTCCAAGGACACCGGCCATCTCTTCCTCTACGCCAGCACCACGACCTCCCAACAAGCCACGGCGCTTGCGGGGGAGCTCGTGCACAGCAGCGATGGGGAAGCCGAGGATGCTGACGAGGGCGCCTCTGCACACGACGTGCTAGGCCATCGCAGCAGCGCGGCCGTCGACTGTTGACAGGCAAGTCCTGTCTGCTGAGTCATCATTTGACCTCCCTTCTTCACGACACCACAAATTCACATTCACCTCTCTTGTGTTCTGGAATGTTCACGTGATTTCCCTCCAACCTGTTGCACGTGCAGTGTTTAGCTTGTGTGGTTGCTCGATGTTACATGCTCTTGCATGACACACCACATAACCACACACACAACTCTCAACAAACACTGCCACGTCACCACTTTGCGTTGTCGACAATTCTTGTCTTCTGCTCTGTTTCTTTCTGTTGGAGTGTTCATTCATCCTACATCCTTGTTTGCTCCACAACTCAAGTAAACACACACAACTTCCTCTTGCAAAGACAATCTCCCACACAACACACAGCACACACACACACACACACAAGTCTCCAACAACAGCACCACCACCATGAACTTACAACAGATTATGAGACCCAGTTCAATTAGCGCAGACGGCATCAAGGTCTTCGCTGGCGCTGAGCAGGATGCAAACCTCTTCTTCATCACCGTCGAGGCCAAGCTCATCGCCGCTGGCATCGACGCTGGCATCATCGCCGAGGGTGGTGCTGACCACCAAGGAGACGGGCAGGCTCCAGCAGCTGCCTCATCGCCGAGCCCAAGCACCCACGGTGCTTCGGGTCCCCGCACTCGCTCCCGCGCTCAACGCGGCCCTCGCCGCACTGGCGCCCGCCACGACGTGGCGGACCATGATGACGACGATGACGAGGGCGATGGCGACGACCACGGCGCTCAGCCATCTTCCTCCTCTTCCTCTCTCCCTTCTTCCGCCACTCCGAGCGGAGGAGCGCAGGTGGCGTCCCGAGCCTCTGGCCTGCTGGATCCCCGTGATCCACAGGTTGACGCAGCCATCTTCGCGTTCCTCCTCGGCGTCCTGACGGGACACCCGCTGCGGCTGGCCATCACCGACAATCGTGGCCGCTCCGGTGTGCTTGCGCTGCGCCGCCTCCGCGAGCGCTACATCCGCAGCGGCAAGGACCACGTCAGTCGCCTCAGGCAGCAGCTCTCCTCGACCACCTGGTTGCCCACGGACACCGTCGACACGTTCATGTCCCGCATCACGGACATCAACTCGCAGCTCCTCGCTGCCGGCGTGTCCATCCCGGAGGACGACCTGCGCACCCTCGTCCGCAACGAACTCCCCGCAGAGTTTGATGTGGCGATGCGGTTCATGGAGCGCGAGGACCCGCCGCCATCGCTGTCCAAGATGACGGCGGACCTCATCCAGGAGGAGCGCCGCCTGCATCGTCCCAAGAAGCGCACGCCCGTGCTCGCCATCGGTGGGCCAAGCCCCGGCTCCTTCGCTGCATCGCCGATGCACGCTGGCACGTCGCCCTCCGACACGAGCGGTGGACCATGCTGTCCACCTGCAGAGCGCGTGACTTGCGCGTTCTGCAACTTCCGCGGCCACTGCGCGCAGCAGTGCCGCAAGCTGCAGGCGGCCAAGCGCTACCACGTCATCGACGTGCGGCAGATCCTGGCTACGCTTCGCAACCATGGCAACGGCAACGGCAAGCGGCCAGGATCCTCTTGCCCGCAGCACGGACGAGCAGCTCCATTCAAGAAGGCGGCCGTCGTCAGCCACGGCCCTCAGCGCGTGGAGACCTTCGCCATCCACCACGATGCCCTCATGCTGCAGCCCGAGGACGAGGAGGAGGGCCACGCCATCGGACCAGTGCCACCACAGCTGTGGCTCGCTGACAGCGGTGCCACGGCGCACATCACCAGCGACGCCTCCCTCCTCACCAATTACATCGCCGTCACGCAACACGTCACCGTTGCCAACAACCAGGCCGTCACGGTCATCGGCAAGGGCGACGCCGTGCTCCGCGTGACTGGCACCGACGGCGCTCCAGGCACCATCACACTGAAGAACGTGCTGCATGTCCCCGACATCAAGTACAACCTTCTGGCGCTGAACCTGGTGACTCGCGCGCGTCGTGGTGCTTCCGTCGTCATTGCTGCGGACGACAGCCGCATCCAGTTTGCCACATGGAGCGTGCCTCTGCTGCCGTCCAAGGACACCGGGCCATCTCTTCCTCTACGCCAGCACCACGACCTCCCAACAAGCCACGGCGCTTGCGGGGGAGCTCGTGCACAGCAGCGATGGGGAAGCCGAGGATGCTGACGAGGGCGCCTC